TATAAATGCAGTTATCAAAGACTTAAGAGCTTTCAGTTGTGGTTGTTCTCATGGCACAGCAGATTTGTTGTTAGAAATACTTTGTTCTTGAGTTTCATCATGTTTTTCTGCTTTCACTTGCTGCAGAGTTTTTTAAATGGAGGAATAGTTTGCACTTCTAGAGTGAAACTGGGACAGGTGTAAAGAAAGGCTGTTCAGATCATCCAGCTTCCCCACAGATATTTTTGATGACAGAAAGCAAAGGGAACTTTGTGTCTCAGCTTCAAAACATGCAAACTGAGGTGTGAGAAGATTTTTGACTGCAAATGCAAGAAACAAGTAAAGGGAAAGGTGTGGGTATATGAGAGGGAACTGAAAAGCCATGGAAAGAATCTATTGCCAAATGGCTGTAAACAAATTTAAGCTGGAAAGAAGAAGTTCGCTGTAATAATTAGGAATGCTCTGTCCTTAGGTGTTCTGGAATGAGTATAATGGGGACAAAAGATCCTTGCAAACCCTGTTATGGAATAGGTACATTTCTGTTGAAATTTGGGAATAGCACTAGGATGGGAAGGGAGGGGCTTTTGATGGTCTGGTTGTGTGGAATTTGGAGTTAAAAGAATTGAGAGTTTTAGCTGATGTCATGGTATCCAATCCATTTAAAACTGTCATGTTTCCAATGGCATTTTTTACTTTATTGACTGAAATCTTAGTGAGGGTATTGAAGTGAGAAGTGAACTTCAGCCCAAATGTCCATCTCATGCTTTGCCAACTGTCACTGGAATGTGCCAGAAGCTCCTTACCTGGCCTGCTGCAGGGAAATGGCCTTGGCAAAGCAACACACCACAAAATAATAAGTTTTAATGTCAGTTCCCTGCAGGTCTAATTCTGCCTTTCCAGAAAATCTAGGAAGCTGGTCCAAGGCTCCTCCCTGTGATAAGGCTAATTTGCATCCTCAGAAGTGAGGGATGGAAGAGAATGTGTTAGAAATAAAAGTCCCTTAAGTAGTTTGATTGATCTGTTTTTCATATTTAAAGGGGAATTAGGGTCTGTCTTTAAGAGCCCAGTATTTCCTTTTGCCATTTTAAAGTAATTTTTAAATGGATTTGCCTGTTTAAACAATGCAGATTGAACATGGGTGTTGAGAGTACTGGAATTTATCAAGCCTAAACAGGACAATTTTCTGTAGAACTGATTCTACACAGATTAAGCAAGATGAGCAGGTGAGGTAGAGTGAGCCCACTGAAACAACAAACCCCCACACGGATGGGTTTTAGTGGGAATATTGGGATAATGGGCAACAATATTTTTTATTATCGTGTGCCCTGTGGGACACATTTCACTCTGAAATATGGAGAGGACTTTTCTGGCTTGCATTAAAACTCTTCCTGAAGCTAAAGCCCTCCATCTCCCTGAGCAGTCATTCCTCAGGGATGTTCTGTTTTGGGCACTCATGAGTCACAGATGGAAAAGGTGATAACCTTGGTTGCCTAAAGCTCTGTACATTCCTTAATATTCAGTCACTAAGGAGTGAAAAAGTACTTATCTAGGGGGGTGAGATGCATTTCCTCTGGCCAAAAATAATAAATTCCTCCTCATTGCTTGGATTTAGAGACTCTCACAAAGAAAATGTAATAGTGTTTAATTTACTTGGACTTTGGTTGGTACTGTGCTTGAAGCCATTTCAAACATGTGAGCTCAACTTATTTTTAAGCAGCTTTCTTACTCCTTAAATATATGAAAAGATAATCAGGAAAGCTCACTGTAAGTGTGAGTGTTACAAAGAACTTGTCACAGTGAACACAAGCTCGAGATCTCTGTTTATAAAGGTATTATCCCCATGTATCAGTGGCATGATTTTACCTCCCCCCAGCATAGTGAACATTGAACAAATATTGACAAACATTGGATTTACAGGCTTTCCAGTAATTCCTTTCAAAATCATACTGACTGTGATGATAGTTAAGCTGTGGCAGTAGGATTGTTCTTATATTCTGTCCTGGCTGAATTTTTTCAAGTTTGCTAATTTGGGGGGATTAGAATTCTAATATAGAATTCTAATCTATATATGGTACAGAATTGTTGCTGTATCACCTGGATCATCTTCCTCAGAGGACTAAGTTTCTTAGAAATAAATTCTTTGCCATCTCTGATAACAGAGACTATGAACCATTAACTTCTAGCAAAGTATCTGTGCCTGTTAAAAATAGGCTCTAAAATACAACCCCCTACTATTCTGAAATTTCTTAGTTCATACCCACTCTATTTTGTTTTTATGTTTCCCTTCTGCACCTCCTGTAAAATCCATCTGACAGATGCTAACACAGATCTGAGATTCATTAGAAGGTCATTAATTATCCTAAAGGGATGTTTATGGATAGCAGCACTGTGTAATTTGGGCTGTCAAGACAAATTGACCAAATGGTTTCTCTGTAACCACTCAGCAACTGAGGGAGGGTACAAAATTCTGTGCATGGTATCCTTCTAAATCCAACTCAAAATCTAGTGCAAGAAAGAGTTTAGTGAAGGTGTCTCTGGTGATCATCACGCTGAGTCTCAAACGAAACTTGTGATTTAGACATTGGAACAATTATAAACACTCCATGGCATTTTTCATTAATCAATTTATGAATAAAAGTTTCTATATAAATAGCATTTTATATAAACAGTGTTACTGGGCTTTCAGGTGGAGGGTTGAGAGTGGGCAATCCTGAGCTGGGAGCTCTCCCTCAACCTCAGTCGTGTGTTTCATCAGCCTTCCCCTTAAATTAATTTTCCATTCATTTTGTGACTTAAAGGCCGAATGTAAAATCTAACAAAAACACCCTAAACTGATCACCCCCTTGTCCAAATAAAGGTGTCGTGATTTCTACTGAAATCACTTCAGGCACTGTGGTTTTCCCAGGAATGGTGTGTCCAGGAGCCCTGGGTCCCTCATCCCAGGTCTGAGTGCTGGTGCTTCTGGCTGTCACACAGGGGGATACATGGACTGAACGCTTTGGTGGCTGCTCCTGGCAGCACAAACTGCTTCTCACTCACTGAATTCCTTCACAGAAAATACATTTTAAGAGTTATTTGCTTGTGAAGTTGCTTTCCTTGCTGCTCTTCATTCGTGTTCTGCTGATGCTCCACTGCAGGATTAGCTTTTAGCCCTGCTGGTTTAGCTCTATATTATGTCTGGCACCGAGCAAATTGCAAGGAGGAATTACATTAATTTAGCCAGTGCTATATTTCAGTGAACCTACTCTTCAAACTATTATTGTACACAACAAGATTGATCCCAGGGAGTTAATATTTTAAGTGCAAAAGGTCAAGCATGTCTTGTTTATGCTTCGAGGCCGTGTCTGACAGTCAGTTTGCACCCATCAGTCCAAATAATCTTTATGATGTACTAATTGAAAAAATACCCTTCAGAGTTATGCCATGGAGGAGAGTATAAAGGTGGCTGTACAGAAATTCTTCAGGCTTTTACATAAGGCAGTAATTCCTGCAATGCCTCTCACCCAGCCCTTTTCTGAAGTTACAATTGTCTGTCTATATAATGCATTAAGAGCAAGTTTAAAAGTCTCTGTGTAGCTTCACTCTCAGCCATCTGCTGAGCTCTGCTTTCCCTCAAGTGTTCTACAAGTTGTGTTGCTAAGATATAAAAATGACTAAAATTTTAATGGTTTGCCAAAGCTATTTTTTCTAAAATATTTAACTCTGGTAGCAATGAGAAAACAGCAAACCCATTCACAATAACCTTTGCTGTGGAGCAGTGATGCAGAGCTGTAGTTGCTGGGGTGAGCACAGTTCCCTTGTGTGTGCACAGTCACATTTGGGTCCCCGTGGGCTCTGCTCTCACCCAGAAGGGACTCTGGAGGAGGTGGTGGCAGGACACCTTTGTGTCTCTCTGTTCTTAGCACTGGTGTCCCAGAACAGTTTCTTAGAACTAACTCGTTCCAGGCTTGTTACAGAAGTAACTGCAGAATTCACTGGAAAGAGGGTTCATTTATTCCTGGCCTGTGTCACCCAGGTATCTGCTTCCCAACAGAAATCCACAGAGCTGGAAAAATCCTTCTCTGGGCCTGTTTCAAACTGGAAGTGGAAGCAACCCTTGGTATAACCATGAGTGATCTGTGTGCTAAAGAAATCTGTTCTCAGACTCTCAGTTTGTTCCCAGAAATCTGGCCTGGTGCCCACTCAAACTGTTGCTGGGTGTCAGCTGGCTGCCTTTTATTAGTAAAGACTTGTGGGTGTGGGTCCAAAAACCAGTCTGCATTTTAAAGTGGATTTATATGAATTTCTACAAATATAGATGCCAGGCTCAGAATAATTTTTCACATGTGAGCTTTCTGCTAAAATATTTACACTATGTCTAAAAGCCCATTTATTATAATATGACTGGTAATACAAGGGGTTGCTTGCAGAGACCTATATATTGTGTGTTCATACTGCTGACTTGCTCTGTATCACATATGTATAAAAGCAGTCAAAAAAGGGCTGATTTTACAATGTATTCACTCCAAACAGTCTGCTTAGAAGGAGATTAAAAAAAGAAAGAAGGGGGCTGTTCAACCATTGTTTGCTGTTTGTAAGACACGGCACTACAAAATTTTGCTTTTGTTTTTTTCTATTTCCTCTGATCTGAACACTCTCAAGGTCAGTAATAAATATAACATAAAAGTTCTTGGAAAAAGTATGTATTTTTTCCCGGGAGAAACTTGCACTTGTAAATTCATTTCTTTCAAAGAAAGGTGTTTGCAAGTAATTCTACTGGGGTGTTTCATTACTATGCCATCAATATGTTAAATTTTAATGTGGGTATCACTAAATGAGAACTGTACATGTCTTTATTTAGTAAAGATATATTCTGCTAAGGAAAAGTTGAACTTATAGTCAAAAAAACCCAGAGTCTCTCTGCATCTGGATTTTGTGTGACCTGAATTTTTGTACTGGGCGTAGGTCTAGCAGTTTTATTTTCTTTAAAAGGCTTTGCAAGTGCAAGATTATAACACTCAGAATGTCAGGAGAGTTCTTACCGTGGAGGTGGGTCAGGATACATGATGTTGACCTGAGAAAGGATGTCCAGGTAGGAACCAAAGTCACAAGCTTGGGGGAACTCCTCGGTGCAGGAGGATCTCAGCTCTCCAGAAGAGCCACCATGGGAGAAGCCATCTGGAGCTGGAAAACAGGCAATTCAGATTTGCTGCTCTTTCCTTCCGTGGTGGATTCCCTGTCACTGTTTATAACACTGCCATGGATTTCTCACTTTTGTATAAATGCTTATCCGGGTAAGGGAATGGCGTCTCTGTTTTGGGAATAAAATTTCAAGTCCGAAAGAAGTGAAATGCAAACTAGTGTTTGCTGAAGGGGTTGCTGAAGTTCCCGGGGGTTGCACACGTGGAAACCCTGGACCATTCCATGAGGGTTTTCCAAGGAGGGGTAGGCTTTTGATTGTAGCTACGTGTCTTGAGAAAATGCTGTTCTCAATAAAAAACAGGGACAAAAGTGGGAAAAGCTGGAAAATAGTAGAGAAAAATCATCCTGCTGCTGCTCCAGGGCTTTCTTGAGGCTTCCACACAAGAGCTTCACAGCTCCAACCAACAACACAGAAACAAGTCTAACACAGAAAAGAGCACTGACTTCTTAGGATTTATGGAGCAGCTCCACACTTGGGTAGTGTGGCACAATTTAGTTTAAGATTGTTCTTTTGAATATCTCTGAAAAGATGCTTTCCTTTTTCCATTTCTCTAGCACTGTTATTCCTAACAAGCAGTTTGAAAATTGCCCTGTATATTTTTGCCTGGTTTCAGGGTTTATTGAAACTGAAATTACTGGAGCAGTAGATTTAAAAGTAGTGATTTAATCTTAGTGGTCATTATTTTATCATGCCAAAATATTGCTGTTCATGGGTGAAATAGTAACCCCAATTTAACCATTTATTCCTGCTGAAAATAAGGAACAATGGATGTTACCAGAATAGTAGGCATTAGTTTTCTGGATTTTGTTGTTTCATTTTTCCCTCTGTAATTGTCTGTGGGAGTTTGCATTTCACTTCCTTTGGATTCTAAATTTCATTAATCCCTTATCTAGATAAATGTTTCTGGAAAAGCCAAAAATAGCTATTCCTAGCTCCAAGTGGACAAACTGATCATAGGAAATGTGTCCATTAGACACAAAAATTCCTGATCCAAACAATTAAATGAAGTCCAATTTTCTGTACCTCAGAAAACAAGATTTAAGCTAATGTGGTTTTATCTTGCTCTCTATTGTTGTCTTTTCTATATAAACACCACAACAATATGCAAAGAACTGCACTCACAACAAACAGCAGGTAGAGGAGCCTGGCCACAGAGGATGTAATTGTTGATGTTCCACCATTTATAGTATGAATTTCTAAAAGATAGACTTACAGAGTAACTTTGTAACTGTTCCCCCCCCCCCAAAAAAAAGAGAAATAATCTGATTCTGTCATTTCTTTGACAAAATGGCTTTCAGCTTCTGGTCAGCAAACCCAGAAGGGGTCAAAAATATAACTCTACAATTAACTCCTTGATAGTCCCAAAACTTCTTAAAGTTTTTTCTCATTGTTTTTGGGCCTTTTTTTTTGTTTGGGTAAGTGGTTTTTTTGTTTGTTTGTTTTGGGGTTTCTTGGGTGTAAGGAGTAGGATTTGGCACCTTTTTGACTCTGTAATGATGATGACCATTGTATGAGGGTGACCATGGTAATGACATTTATGTCATCAACTATGATGCTTGCAATGCCATTTTGGTGCCCTGTTTTTCTGTTTATATCCAGTTATTAATTTTTGTGGTCAGAAAAACAACATTTTCCCAGTCATTGATGTAGATTGGTGCATAAATTGAAAACAGTTCTGGCTTTCCAACAGATAGAAATGACATCACACTCTACACCCAGGCTATGAAGGGATGTGAAAATGCAACAGAGAAGAAATCTTATACCATATCAAGGGGAAATGATCTGTTTAGGACCTGCTGTGGGCAGGGTTATGTTAACTGGCCTGGGTTATGTTAACCTTGAACTGTGGAAATACAGTCCCAGCACCACTAAACTGCAAAGCTGCCTGTGACCTCCATACCCTATTTTTTATGGTTTTTAATTTTATTTTTTATGCCTTGCACAGAGGCTTTTTGCTGGATTCAAAAAATATGAGTTCTGCAGAGAAGAATTTGAGCAGTCTCTGCAAAATGCCATGAGCCACGAAAGCTGGGGAAAAACCTTTTCAGTAACTTCATCACTGTGGATTCTTCCTGCCTCCTCCAGCACAATGGAAGAGACTCCATGCCCTGCCCAAGCCAGAGAGACCATACCCTGATTTGATCAACCTATGCAGAAGATGCATTGTGTTTTATCTCGTTTTGTGTTACCTGTCCCCCCTGCAAAATCCCCTAAGTTAAAGTGGGTTTTTCCCATGAGGTAATTCCTAAGACCCCAAAGATGAGTTAACCCGAGTTTTTCCCTTACCTCACCTTTGTGAAACCACGAATATGTAGAACCCCCTGTTGAATATGTAAACCCCAAACCCTTTAAATATGAAGTTGTGAGTCCAAGAAACCATTCCAGTTTTCTGCCTCCCCTGGGACCGTCTGAGCTTCATTGCCCTCTGCAGCTTTTTGCTGCCCCCAGCAGTGGGTTCTGCCTGCAGTCATAGAATCATAGAATCATAGAATCATAGAATCATAGAATCAGCTGGGTTGGAAGGGACCTCTGAGATCATCAAGTCCAACCCTTGATCCAACCCTGCTGTGGTTCCCAGCCCATGGCACTGATGCCACATCCAGTCTTATCTTAAAAACCTCCAGGGATGGAGAATCCACCACTTCCCTGGGCAGCCCATTCCAATGGCTGAGCACCCTCTCTGCAAAGAAATTCTTTCTAATCTCCAACCTAAACCTCCCCTGGCACAGCTGAAGACCCTGAGCCCTCTTGTCTTGCTGAGAGTTGCCTGGGAGAAGAGACCAACCCCCCCTTGGCTCCCCCCTCCTGTCAGGGAGTTGCAGAGAGTGAGGAGGTCTCCCCTGAGCCTCCTCTTCTCCAGGCTGAACAGCCCCAGCTCCCTCAGCCTCTCCTCATAGGACTTGTGCTCCAGTCCCTTCACCAGCCTCGTTGCTCTCCTCTGGACCTGCTCCAGCCCCTCCATGTCCTTCCTGAGCTGAGGGGCCCAGAGCTGGACACAGCACTCCAGGGGTGGCCTCACCAGCGCTGAGTCCAGGGGAAGAATCACTTCTTTGGACCTGTTGGCCACACTGATCCTGAGCCAGGCCAGGATCCATTGGCCTTCTTGGCCACCTGGGCACACTCTGGCTCATGTTCAGCTTCCTGTCAATCCAAACTCCCCTGGGACCGTCTTATCTTCATTGCCCTCCGCAGTTTTTTGCCGCCCCCAGCAGCGGGTTGTCCCCGCGGTCAGTCCCTGTTTTGTGTCACTGACCATCCCCGGTCAGTCCCTGTTTCTGTCACTCCCCATCCCCGGTCAG